TTATGCAAGGGTCTTCAATCCTGGTCCTCACAAAACACTGTTTTTGAGGTCCTGCATGATATTTTATAATGTTTTGTTTCTGTCATTTTTCACTCTTTGGAGTTTGTCCACATTAGTTCAGTTTGCTTGCATTTTACCATTTTTTTTCTATTTTATTTCTCTTTTGCCTTTCTTATTGTTTTTGGTTCTTACTTTTTTCCTAATTATTATATTGGTTTTCTGAGGTTATTTTGTTATTTTTCTGCTTATCCCTCCTCTGTCATTTCTCCCTAGGCGATTGTCACCTGTTAATTTGTAGATTTATCTGTGTGCTGTATTCCATGTAACGCCTGTAAACGTGCACACCTCAATGTTTTGGGTTTTCTAATAGAGTGCTTCGGCCATGCATTTGTGTTAATTCAGTTTTTTTATTGTTTCTGGTTCTTTTTTTTTGGAAAGCTGTAGTCCCAATTTGACCAGCCCCTTTCATGTGTGTGTGTCTGTGTGCACAGTGTACTGACGTCCATAAGGCTGAAGGCTGTCTTGATTCAGCGCAGCGGTTTGGAGCTCCTTTCCCCCCATTGATAGAGATGATAGAGTAACCCTCTGCAAGATAAAGAGACATGAAATAGGAGCAGGAGGTAGGAATTATAACTTGAGGTATTTATGACCCATGGTTTATAGGGAGATATTTTTTTGTTTTTAATCAACGTTCTGAATTTCCATAAAATCTCCAGAAATGAAAAAGATTGTCCCAGAACTTCGGATTTGTTTTTGGGTATATTTAGACTTTGTGCTCTAGCATAATCATAGATCAGTTCTTATTTTATGTTTGTTTTTAAAATGACAAACAAGACAAATAAAAGAAGCACAGAAAATAGTAACAACCAAATGGCTGATTGGTGAAAGGGAATTTAAGAAATATTGTAATTGAACTAATTATAAATCATTTAATTCTAAGTTTCTCATAGCTTTTGCATTATTTTTAGTTATATGAATACTGATTAGAATCTAGCCCAACAAAATGCCTGCACACTCTTTAACCAATCCAATTACTGAACTGATATCAGTTTGTTTGATCAGTAAATTGCATGTTTACAGCTTGTTTCATGCTTTTTTAAAGGTTATGCTTATTTACATTATTCATGATGAATCATATAATGATTGCTACAGAAAGAAAATTCAAAGATCCCTATGTTTGGCAGACACATTGCTGTCGTGTTTATAACTTGGTTCTGGGCCACATTTCCTTTACCATGTCCTTTCCAAGAGGATGTAGCTACTTGGTGCTCAGGCAAAACAACTTCCATGTTTGTGTTATCTATTGTATTAATCTGCACATCACTGTTCATTCCAAAATATAAACCTTTTCACTTCATGTCACTGGGCAGGATGTTTCCAATTCTTGTAATATTCTGGAGATTGAAGAAGGAAATTATAGAAACCAGATCCTGATGAAAAATTACACCAAGATCTTTTACTTTACTATCTAAGTGTCACGATTTGGTTGGAGGTTTTTGTGAGGACCCAAATGCAGAGGTTTCTTGCAGATTTAATGGAATGATCACAGGCAGCAAAAACAGGAATCCAAAAAAATCCAACTTAAAAATGTTAAACTAAACAGGAATCCAAAAATCCAACATAAAAATTAAACACAAACCAGAACCATGGAGACATCAGGGGAAAACAATCACAAGGACCCAGGGTAAGAAGAAGTAAGACGAGGAACCAGCACTGAGGGACTGCACAGGGAGTGTTTTTATGGCTGACTGAACAAAGGCAGGACTAACGAGCTGATAAGGAGCAGGTGTGAGAAGCTGACGAGGAAGCCGAGGGAAAAGAAAACACTAGGGGGCAAAAGAGGACAAGCAAAGAAAAACCTAAGAAACTCAAATAAATCCAGAACACACCAATAAAGCTAGAAAAAACAAAAACAAAAAAAAACATGGATAAACGTGAAACTGAAAACCAACAGAACCAAGATCGTTACACTGAGCTCAATTTAATCCGATCCAAATGAAGGGACTGACTACCCAGCTTATTTTAAAGAGACTCTGGTCCTTCTGTTTTGGCTGCATTCAGAAGCAGAAAGTTAAAGTAAGACTCATCGAGGTTTTTATGTCTTCACGACATGTCTGTAGTCTATTTAAAGGGTTAGTTTCCTCTTCTTTATTGACAGATAAAGCTGAATATCATCAGCATAACATTGGAAATTACCAATGATGCCAAAAGAAGTTTAAAAAAACTACTGTATGCCTTCTTATCCTTCCACTTAATGATTACATCTGACATTGTGCTGGACTATCACTCACAATCCCTATTAAAAATGAATATGTTTGTGGTTGGAATTGAAAAAAGTTAAAAGATTTAATGAGTATCGATTGTTTAGCAAGGCATAATGTTTATAATTGTTTTCCACTGTGGCTTGATTTTTTATTGAACAGGTAGACGTAACAATAAGCCACTAATCATCACTGATCTGACTTGGTTTGATGGAAACAACTATTGTTTTTCAGATACC